TATGAGAATCGGTCCATAATTGACCCTACCCCCCATACAAGGCCCTTTCAGAAAACGACTATAACGCTCTTAACTTGCTTCAAAATGATAGCAATGCAACGAAATTCTATATAAACAAGTTTTAAGGAACCAAAGTCTCCCTGCCAAATTTTATTAGAATCGGTCCATAATTGACCCCACCCCCATATAAGGTCCCTCAGAAAACGACTATAACGACAAAATAATAGCAATGCAACGAAATTCGACATAAACAAGTTTTAGGGGAACTAATATCTCTCTGCCAAATTTTATGGAGATCGGCCCATAATTGACCCTATCCACCATATAAGGTTCCCCTCGGAAAATTACTTTAAAGTTCACAACTTTCTTAAAAATACCAGTAAATCACGAAAGTCAACATAAACAAGTTTTAGAGGAACTAAAATCTCTGCCAAATTTTATGAGGAACGGTTCATAAGTGGCCCTACCCCAGATATAAGGTTCCCTCATAAATTGACTATATCGCTCATAATGTGCTAATAAATTATAGTAAAGCAACAAAATTCGACGTAAACAAGTTTTCGAAGAACAAATATCTCTGCCAAATTTTACGGATATCGGCTCATAATTGACCCTACCCCTCATATAAGGTTCCTCTCAGAAAATTACTTTAAAGTTCATAATTTGCTTCAAAATGACAGTATATCAACGAAATTGACATAAACATGTTTTATAGAAACTAATATCTCTCTGCCAAATATTAAGTGATCGGTCCATAATTGATTATACAACACCCCCGCCCCCCATATAAGGTCCCCTACATAAAATGGCTTTAACGCTCATAATTGGCATTATCCCCTATCATAGATTAACATTAACGGCCATAACTGGCTTAAAAATACCAATATAGCGATAAAAAAATGTAGACACTCAGGTGATCATATTAAATACCTTTTTAAATCAGGCTTATACATTTGTTCCCACAAATCGTCGTAAAGCTATTGTTAAAAAGGATGCTTGGATGAGAACTAGAGAAATAATATATGCAACATCGTTGAGGGACCTTGCATATCAACGTTACGGCAAAACTAACCACTTACACAGGTTTTCGTAAGCCAAAAAGGAATCAGCTGATTCATCACGGAACGGAACGTAGAGACTAACTGAGCCTTAACACTTCACTACTTTTGACGGAGATGACCGAATTTATAAGAAACGATCTTAATAGGGGAAAGGTGGATTTGTTAGTATCTCTAGATCTATCTAGAGCATTTGACTGTATTGACCGTAGTAGAGTCGCGAAAAAGCTTCACGATAAATTTAAATTCTCTAGGCATGCGTGTAAACTTATATATTCATATTTGTCAGAACGTTCTCAGTTTGTTGATATTGATTGTAGTATCTCTAGGACTTGTGATATGAACTTAGGTGTGCCACAGGGCTCAGTCATTGGCCCACTTATTTTCATTTTATATCTTGATGACCTCATAGAAAAAGTAAATGAATTACATATGTGCAAGATGTTTGTTTTCGCAGATGATGTGCATATTATATTAGGGAATGAAAGGCAATTTTTAGATGTCTTAGAAGTTAATACCAATTTCTGCCTAGATATCATCTTGTATGATAAGGAATGGTTTTACCATTAATCCTTCAAAGACCAAGTATATTATTTTTGGTAATACTTCTAACCATATCTTTAATATTCAAATAAATAACTGTAGTATAATATGTGTTGACCAATTACGTTGTTTAGGAATAATTATTGATGATAAATTAGATTTTGGTAGTCATATTGCACGTTTGCAGCATTATTTATACACTTCGTCGCTTATACAATTCGGATATTTTTCTACCGCTACATGTCAGGCGTAAGGTTGCTTTCGCACTGTTAATGTCGAAACTAGAATACGGTTTAGAAATAATATCAGGCACTAATTTAATTAATTTAAATAGACTTGAAAAGATATTCAATATGATAGTGCGTTTCGTTTTCAATGTTAAAATTAGAGAACATGTAACCCCTTTTGTAATTCAGTTTTTGGGCTGCACATTTAGGAAATTTTTAGATTACCGTTTATTGTTTTTCTTTTATAAGATAATTTTTAATTCATCACCACCAAACCTGCGAAACCTTTTTAACTTTTCTAGATCCACCAGAAATGTTCAAATTTTAATTCCCCGAATATTTAAATCTATATTTGAACATTCTTTTCTTGTGAGAGTTACCCATCTCTGGAACTGCCTACCACCAGATCAGGGTGCACTTATAAGGTGAAGTCAATTCAACAGCTGATCACTCATTTTTTTTATTTGAGGTAGATACAACTTTAGAGTTGCCACAATCCGAAAAAATATGCACATCTATATAGGGATTCATTATATTTTTAGGACAAAAAATTAATAAATAAATTCTATATTCATTTTAATCCATAGTTAATTTGTGCGAAATACTAAAAAATTGCACAAACTATTTGTCTTAAATATGCATCTATTTTATCAAGTATAGGGAACTTTTTACTAATCAATTGAGAGTACAAACATCCCACAATTGTAAAAAAATTATTAAAACTCGATTTTATCATAGATATCTTATTTTTTTACAACTTTAAATGGTAGTGGTTTGGTCACATTTCTATAAAGATCATTATATATTTCTTATACGACAATAGTAGAGGCCTACACGGTATTATAAGTTCCCAATATTGACTGTTAAAAAATAATATGTATATAATTTGTATTTTTGCTACTTCTTACAATTTTGTAATCTAATACTAATTTTTTGTTATTTTAATTGATAATTTATTTACTTTTTTAATAAGTAAATAATAAATAATATTCTATCCCCCTTATTCACAAACAGTATTTTTATTTTATAAAAGGTTTATAAAACAAAATTTCCATACAAAATACCGCTTATAAAATAAAAATTTTGTTTGTAAATAATTTTTCAATTCATGTATAATTTTTAATAAATTTTATCTTATAATACATATTTACTTTACGTGAAGAGAATTTTGGGCATGTGGGATTGTCTTTTTGTAAGATAAATTAAAAAAAACACGGTGGCAACATGTAAATTTTTTGACAGAAGTATCTACTTTTGTTGTTTTTGTAGAATTGACTTCACCTTATAAGTGCACCCTGCACCAGATCTTAGGGTGTTCGCAAATTCGGCTAACATATTTAAACATAAACTATATTTGCATATGTGTGAGTCATCATAATCTTCTTTCATCTATTTTTAATATAAACATTGCTGTTACTACCATGGACCTTACTTTATTGTTATTTATTCTTTACAAATTTGGCTGGGGGGCCTTCTATATTTAATTCTAACTTAATTAAATTGTAAAATTTTAAATTTTTTTTTAGATGTAAGCTCTGTAATAATGTTTTTTGGCCAAATATGGCTTCTTATTATTACCTGAATTGAAATAAAATAAAAAAAATAAAATAAAATAAAATTCGTCATGAACTAGTATTATGGGATCTAAAATCTTTTTGTCAAATTTTATGACCATCGAGCCATATTGGATTAAAGCCTTCACATAAGTCTTAGAAGGAATTGATATTCAACAAAACAAGTTTTATTGAATGCAAAATCTTTGTAGAATTTTAGGAGGATCCAAAATTTAGCATAAGTAAATTTACAGGAAGTCAAAATATTAAAAAATTATTAAATACAATAAAATAAGTGTACTTATATATTTATATATGATAAATCATCGGTTGTTATAGTATAGGTCCACTTTCCGAAAATCACCTGAAATTTTAGACATATGATTTGATGGTGGGTATATAAGATTGCCAGCCGAATATAGCACTCTTACTTGTTTTATATGTTTTCGTGTAATCAGTGTTGGCACAACAATATTTTTCTAACCAAAATTCGTATAAAATAAAACCATATAAATATAAAATGTAACCAAAATATTTTTATTTATTTCGTGTTTACATTTAGATAGTTAGGTATGAACTTTAGAGTCATAAATTGGAAGGGAGATTTATGTTCTTACAAAAATGTTTTATGTTGAATTTCGTCTCTATACTGGTACTTATAATAAAGACAGTCATGAGCGTTAAAGTAATTCTTCGACCTTTTATCGTGCGTAAAGTCAATTATTTATTTTTATTTTATTTCATTTATTTATTTAACCGAATTATAGACCGAATTTCATCGCTACACATGCTTTTTTAAGCCAGTTACTAGCAATATAATAATTTTCTGAAACTGACAAAAATATTTTGGCTCCAATAAAACTTGTTTATGTCGATTTCATCGCTATATTTGCTTTTTTAACCGACATGGCCACACATCAAATTTGTTGACTCAAACGGTAAATTTTTGTTTGTGTTATCACTTAAAAAATTTACCGTTTGAGTCAACAAATTTGATGTGTGGCCATGTCGCTTTAAGCCAGTTACTAGCAATATAATCATTTTCTGAATAGACCTAATATGGGGACTAGCTGAAATCGTTGATCGATATTGTCCATTTTTAATAGCAAATAAATTATGCCAACTAAAAATATTTCCGCAAAATTTCACCTCTGAATTTTGTTTTGTTTTGACTCTATCGTGTTTTCAAAAGACAGACGGACGGTAATGGCTAGATCGTCCTAAAATTTTATAAGGACCCAGAATATATGCTTTTGCAGAATATATATACATTGGTGGGACTATGACCAATACTTCGATGTGTTACAAACGGAATGACAAAATCAATATACTCCTTTTTTATTGGTGCGTATAAAAAAGATATGTATGTATGTTTATTTGCATAGTTGGTTTATTACTAGAGAGCAAAAAGTTTTTCTATTTTAAAAACGGAATAAAAGCAATCAGCATTTTGTTTGCAAAAAATAACTAAACCTAAATAATCACATGTACACATGCAAAATAAAAATAACCAATTTTGGTTAATAATAACCAAAGTGGCAACACTGAGTGTAATCCGTATTATGTACCGGTTTAATATAGATGGTACTTAATACTGAATACCCGTATACTCAATATATTCTGCAAAAGCATAAAAACTAAATACCAGATCGAATAAAATGGAGTAATTAAATCAACGCAATGTGAAAGTAGACAAAGAAAATTTAAATAAAATATACTATGAAAATACAGTAAATAAAAATAATGAACTATATGTCATGTTACCATATGTTTAATTTGTGATCATGATAAAGTCAAACAAAAAATGTAAAAAACAAAAAAAAAAAATTAAAAATTTTGTTGGACTGCAGAAATTGTCTGCACCCAATAATATCTGGCAACTCTGCTGTTAAACCTGCAAACAAAAACAGCAGCCATTTTGTAGCTTGTAGGTTTTGTAACAACAAAGAAGGAATTCGTGGAAAGAAAAGTGTTAGTAAATTAATTAAAAAATATGTGGATAATGTTTACAAACTTTTGTAAGCAATAAGTTTAAGATTATTAAAAAAAAAATAAATTTTAAATGTAAGTGCTTAAAAATCCCGTATAATTGTTATAACGAAAAGATTTCATAAATTATTGTCACTATTCTGTGTATTGAATAAAACCTGATTTTTTTGTGCACCACCAATTGTGTAAAATAGTGTATATGGATGCACATACGTATGTATGCGTGTATATATATATATATATATATATATATATATATATATATATATATATATATATATTATATATGTCTATATCTATATATGTAGTACATATTGCAATAAGAAATGGATTAATTAATATTTTCCGATAAAAAGAAACATCGTCACCTTTGGAAATTAAGCACTTAATGAGTTGGTGAGAACAGAAGAAGTATTAGTGTTGATGCATAATGAATATAGAGAGATAGATGAATAGAGATATAGAGATATATGATAGATATTAGAGAGGAGAGATAGAGAGAGATATATATAGTAACTATATATATATATATATATATATATATATATATATATATATAAGATATATAATATATATATATATATATATAATATATATATCATATATATATTATATATATATAGTATATATATATATATATAAATCCTTATTTATTATATGTGTTGTATATATTTATTTACATATGTAAACGTACCTATATGTACATATATAGGTATATACTTTCAAATGCATATACATAGGTATTACATTATTATTAATAACCGAAAATAATGAAAAAACAAACAAATTGACATTGCAAAAAAAAAAATACCTGCAATCTTTGCACAACTGTCTAATATAAATTCCTTAAATATACGATTTGGTGCTTGCAGACACCAACAGACCTATATTTGTATGGATGTTTAATCATTTTTAGACAGACTTAAAGTTATACTGCTCCACAACTCTGTTATCTTTTAAATTATAGAAAATTTGAACCAACATAATTTTTTTATCTTGTAATTTTGTAAATTCAAAACCAAGCCCTTGGGGCCAAATATGGCTTACATTCTACTCCATAACAATACTTAAAGTTATTTTAATAGTGTTAATTGTGACAGAATAAATAATATAAATTAATGTGTGATATAACAAATTTTAAAGATTATTCGTGCAAAAATTAATAAGGTCTTGTAGTTTTGTATTTATTGAGTAAAAACTGAAGGTATAGTGGGCTTGGAAATAATGACAAAGCCTTACATACTTCAGAGTAAACAAAAACACATACCCAATCTGTCTTCGGCAGAGTATTTTTGGTATAAATTAACGAAATTTGCTGGGGTTTCGATTAGGAACAACATAATTAATCGAAGATATGGGACGACTTATATATTAATACATAATTTATGGTGATACATGAGGTATAGATTTGGCTATATTCGTGAATAAGTTTTAAATATCAATAATGTTCCGTCAATACAAAAATGGAGGGCACCGAAAATCCGTCAATAACAGTCATTTTACTTTGTAGTAGGTATAGTTCTAAAAAGAAGGCACAAATCAGGATTAATCCGAAAAACTGGCAGTGTACATAGGTATGACACACTGCCTACCATTTAAAAAATTAAATTTTGTTTAATTATTTATATGACTTTTAACCCAGTATTTGCGAAAAAAAAAAATATATTTCAAAAATAAATGGATGAAGAATTAGTGGGCGTAGCGTATATCTAAACTATAGTAGTTAAAGGCACTATATTTTGTATGAATGGGCGTGCCACCTCCCACATAACTTCCATTCCAAAATAATGAAAACGATTCATGGTATTGCACATCAGAGAACAGAATTAAACTATTCACGTTTTATGATCATTCGCAAATTAATTTCTTTTGAACTGTCTTTACTCAACAATAATACAAATGTGCATTGCCTTTATTTCAATCTCTTTTTATATGACTATACATCAAGCAACGAAATAATTCAATGCCACATGAAAAAACTAAAAACGTTCACACCATTCGTCCAGTATTCGTTGCAGAGTATGAAATCAAACGAAACCTTTCGCAAACGTTTATATAACGTACAATACTAATACTAATGTACGTGAGCAAAACTAAAACAAAAATAAATACTTTTGAAGAAAACAAAAGCAGAAAAGTATTTAATGAAAAATTCATTTAGTGTGTTTGATTTCAATTAATTTGTTATTGTTTTTAATTGCTACTACTTGAAGGTACTTTACATTATGTTATTTTGTATTAATATAATATATTATATATATATATATATATATATATATATATATATATATATATATATATATATATATATATATATATATATATATATATATATATATATATATATATATATATAATTTATGGTTTTCTTTTGGATTTTAATTTGTAAATTCATTTTCTTTTATTTTTGAAATTGAAAATAAACAAAAAAGGTTTCATAATACATGAAAATTGTTCAATACAGTTTGACAACAAATTCCATTTTTTATTAAAAATAACGAAACTCTGATATTATTAAAAAGTATTGTAATGTAAAACCCCCTTTAGAGTTTATATAAAAACGACTTTTGGATAAACCTGTTTGCCGGTTACCCAAAAATTGGCTATTTCTAGAAAACCGGTTTGTCGGTTAACCGAGTATGAAAAAACCGTTAATTATACCCTGCACCAAAACATATTAAATCAACTTATTCATGCGCCAATGTGAAAATAATATTTAGTTAGATTAACATTAATTAAATAGATTTAGTTCATATTTATCTGGTACATGCATCGTAGAGATCATTACTAAAATCGGAAGTATTATTTAGGATAATACAAAATATAGGTGTATTGATTTTTGTAGAAATAATAGAATAGTTTTTTTATTATTAAAAAAATGTTAAGTGAAATTAGATACATTTATCCGGTTGCTTTGCTTTATTTTAAAATTTTTAATGATTTTTTTATTTTTTTATTTTATTTTTATTTTATTTATTTCATTTGTAATTTGTAATCCTTATTGGCCAATTAATAAATTACAAAAATAACAATAAAACAAAATTATTGTACTTAAAATTTTTCTGTATAACATCTAAAATTAAAATAAATTCACGTTTTTGTCGGACAAAATAAAGTGTAAATTTTATATATCATTATTTAAATTTCTTGTATATCAAAATTTTTTATCTATTTTGGTTCTGATTTTAATATCTGTATCTACTTAAGCCATTTTGGTAATTTTGTTCTCCACTATTATTCGCAATCGCCTTCCCTTCCCCTTGCCATATGACAATTTTAAAAAGAAATACGTTTTTGATCACTATTTCATCGGAATTTTTTGATAAATTGTGGTCCAAAATTAATCTATTGGATTTAGGGCGGTGCTCTGAGCAACTTATTTAAATTTTTCAATGATTTTTCCTACAGAAATGTTATTTTTTAATTTTATCAAGTGCTTAAGCTTATTATCTTGCCGAAATATAAAGTTGCCCAAGTCCATTTCGAAGGCACTGATCTTAAGATTTGACTGTAATATGCTCATATAGTTTTCATTGGAGCTTTTTGAATAAATTTCACCTAGGTTCCCCACACCTAACGTTAAAAATTGGACACATACGAAGAGTCAACTGACCCATACCTTCAATCTTTCATCAACATATTTAAAAGTTTAAAAATTTTTTTCGATTTTAGTATTTAATTTCGTATTTTTTAGCTCAAATTTACGTAGTTGGTCAGATGAGTCCCAATTTCTACCGAAAATTTTGAAATGTCGACAATGAGTGTGAGTTAAGCCCTTCAATATACAAAATTTTAAAAACAATACCCCAGGTTTTAAACATTATGGTGGAGGGCTATCGGTATTGTTACATTATTCAACTTTAAGAGCGAGAATCTTAACGGAAATGAAGTAAGCAATAACAAATGAGCAATTCACGAGCGTATTTAATACAAATTTTGAAATAAATGCCGTAAAAATGGGTTTGGGAGACCTAATGCCTCAACCGATTCATGACTTCAAACACACGACTAAGGTTAAAAACATTATTGTAAGAAAAAAAAACACTGAAAAATTTGAATGACCTGCTCAGAGCATCGCCCTAAATCTAATAGATTAATATTTGACCACAATTGATCACAAAATTCCGCTAAAATAGCGAACAAAAACGGATTTCTTTTGAAAATAATAGTATGGGAGAAAGCAAGGGAAAGTGAAAGCGATTGCGAATAATAATGGTGAAAAAATTACAAAAATGGCTTGAGTAGATCCAGATATTCAAATCAGAACCAAAATAGATAAAAAATTTTGATATACATAAAATTAAAATAATGGTATATAAAATTTACACTTTATTTTGTCCGACAAAAAAGTGAATTTACTTTAATTTTAAATGTTATACAGAAAATTTTTAGGTGGAATAAATTTGTTTTATTGTTATTTTTGTAGCATTGTATATAAACTAAATGAATTTAAAAAAATTCCATATTCAATAATCATTTAACAGATTTTTCTATGAAATAATGTAGCATGAGCACTTTTGCACTTTATTTTGTCCGATAGTATATATATATATATATATATATATATATATATATATATATATATATATACAGTATTGTTCGAAACCTAAGCAACTTTTTTTGGCATTGTATACAAAGTGCTATATTTTCTATTTTAATTGAATTATTCAAAATTATATAATTGATAATAATAATATTATGTGTCTACATTATAATAACAACAACAAAAGTTTAATTCCATTTCGCTGTGAGTTTTAAGAAAATAATAACTGAATTAACTCCATAAATAGCTGTTCGAAACTGAAGCAACTTTTTGATCTTCATATGAAAATCTTTGATCCTTTTGAGTTCCAAACACATTTATGGAATAGATTAGTTACTAGTGTAGTTCGTAATGAATCCCAATCGGATTTTAAGCCATTCGCCAGCTGTAATGTTTTCTAAAACTGCGAGTTTCGACCCAGCGCTTCAGAATGCCGAACAGCATCTCTAAAGGGCTTGAGTCAGGAGATTTTGATGGACAATCAAAGAATTTGGGTCCCATTATACGATAACTACTCTTAGATCAACTTTGC